GAGACCTGCAAACAGCCAGACATGAGCGTCTGACTCATTGCTTTCTGTTCTTTTGTCACTGCAAAGCGTTTCAGATGTTAATGGAACGTAGGCAGAGGGTTTCTGTCGTCAGGTAGGAAGTGACAGGCTGAGGTCTGAGTCACAGCAGCGTATAGGTGCACTGAGAAGAGGTGCATGTGAAGCATTACGTTCCTGTCACTTACCTTGAACATTAATAAAAGAAGTTAATTTGTTCATGTCTAAAGTTTTCATACACATCACTTAGTTTATATTGAAATTATTCTTAAAATACTAACAACAGTCTGCATGAAGCTGTAATCCTTACTGTCTGAACCATAACAGATACAACTAAAACATTTCTGAATAAACTTAAAAATGAAAAAAAAAAATCTTTTGCATGGATCCAGAAGCTGAAACTGGAATGAAACCAGCTTCTCCATCTGCAGCTTTACAAGTTTTAAATCCCATCCCCTCCACATAAAAATGGTTCATTCTGATGGTAAAATAAAACAAACATGATAATTTATTCAGGTGCTGACTCTTGTTATCTCGCTGCTGTTTGTTCTAATATTCATATTTTTCTAACACGTTTAGCTGTAATTAGCTATTTTATGCTTAAAAGAAAACTCGTGTTACACCATGCTTCTGTGTGAGGGAGTAGGTGGAACATAAAGCTCCACATCGCTGGTGCACAAACACTGCCTCCAAAAATACAACCTCGCAGCTTCCAGAAAAATATCCCTGCTGGCTTCGATTCCCAGCAAACAGTAAAGGCAACAACAGTGAGTTTAGTACAATATGTTTATACAAAATATTATTGTCAATGTGGAAATTAGTTACTCTTTTGAAAACTGACGTAGTGCTACCAAAAGTCATATCCTGCTCGTCTCAATCAGTGATGTATTTTTTGAATGATGTTTTTCTGAAGCCTTCTGGAAAAGGAGTGAATTAAAAATGGTGACACCTACAAAACATTAATTGTTTCCTATGAGCATGCATTAATTATAGCATGAAATATGAAAAGAACCATTGGCTGCACACCCACAGAGAAGAAGCATTCACCTCTACCATCTACCTAAACTACTCAGGATCTCTCATCAAACAACTTGAAGACACTTCACATCAGAAAGTGTCAAAAAGTTTAGAAACTTTTCCCACTGAAGACGGGAGACGAGCTGCTTGCCAGCTCCTGACAGTGATCCCTACATCTCTCAGTCTGTGCAGCGCCTCTCATCACCCTGTCAGGGTTGCTGCACACTCTCATGTTCAAAATGCAATTCTTCATTCTACTTTTTAAACAGCCGTCAGACACTTAAAGTATTCTTAATTAAACCCAGCTGACACCAAGAGTGATTTATTCTGATTATTTGTACTATTACATTGTCTAACAAATGGCAGAAATGTCTAACTCCAGGTCAGGGGCGATTCCAGAATCTGCCCCTTAGGGGTGCTTAGCCCCCAGTGTTGACAATGGCTCTTGGCTTGAAAACGCGGTGGCCACTGGCATCACAAGCATTTGTAATGAAACACCCAAGTACTTGTAACTGGAGACCATTTCCATAGAAAATCCTCCTATGTTCAAGGGGGCGGTGTAAGTGTGTTTGCTCTTTCTGAAATGTTCTTCCTGCACCAGCTCTCCAGGCACTTCCTGGCTGTAGCTGGACTCATCATTGTTTGTGATGCATCCATCAGCAAACTTTACGATATGACAGCCTGAATGGGTAGGTGTGCAGTCATACGTGAGCAGAGTGAACAGGAGGGGGCTCAACACACAGCCCTGAGGGCAGCCAGTGCTGAGAGTTATGGTGGAGGAAGATAAGTTGCAAAATCCTAATGAGGGCTTCTTTTATTTTAGGGGTGCTGAGTTAAAATTTAGGGGTGTTTCAGCAGCCCCAAAAAGAGGCTAAAATCACCCCTGCTCCAGGTTACACGGGTTGTAAATATAATTAATCATCAATTCAATGCACTGTTCTTAACAGTATATCATACTGAATACATTATTGCGAGAATCTGTTTCGTTTTCTTGTGTCATCTGTCCTGCCCTCCTCAGTGTTTCCTCCCTCATGTTGTCAGCTCCTGTCTCACCTGTCTTCATTCCCATCCACCCCCAGGTGTTCATCATTGTGTCTCGTTAATGTCCTCTATAAGTTCTGTCAGTTTGTCTCCTCCCAGTCCGTGACTTGTCCTCCCAACATGCTCTGTTCTCCCCGTGTCTCCTTCTTCACAACCTCCACGTAAGTTCTGCTGCTTCATTTTTGTTTCTTTAAATAAATATTCTTTATTTTATCCTTGAGCTCCCCACCTCTGTCTGCACTCCGGGTTCAACAAAGCTGCACATCATGATAACTATGTTACAAAATAGGATTATTATTTTTTTACACGTTTAAATTTTGTTTTGTTGAGAAAGGACGGTGTTATAACTGGTTTGGTCAAACTAAATGACCTATCATATGTTTCTGTCTTATGTGGTATTGTGAGATGTGTTAGTGCTGAGAGTATGGGAGGACTATCAGCTACTACCACACATTTAACTCAGCATCACTGATACTGGCTGAGTTACAGCAATTTTTGTTGGTTGATAATAAAATGCTGTTGCAGCCATTTTGAATTCGATTACATTTAAACATTAATCAAGTACAGGTGTAGGCAGTGATTACTTTATGAGAGCTTCACTAAAATTCACGCAGTGGCTAGAGATATTTTGCTAACATGCTGACTGTATTGACTCTTAACATTAATGACTGAGGTTTCAGTAAAGCTGTGTAAACTTTGGAGGATGTGTTGGGCATGATGCTTTACTGCCACACCAGTTTTTAATGGTGTGTCTGTAAAAATTACCAAGTTATAGTAATTTTTGTAGTAATTTTTGTGGTGCTAACAATGATTAGCTGTGGTGGCCATGATAAAGTGAAGCAACTCCATAAATTAATCAGTTTAGATGTACATCGAATGATTACTTTCTTAGAGTTCTATTAAGATCTGTCCGTTAGTTCATGAGACATTTAGCTAAGAGACAGAGTTGAGGTGAGCAGTCAGTATAGTTTAAGGTAAAAATATCAGTGTGTGGTGACTGAAGTACATTTTGTGGTGGGGATGCTGCACGCCCACTTTCCCATCAAAATGGACCTCAGTGTCTGTAAAATGACTGTTAGAATAGTTTTTGTGAAAGCTAATGTCGATCAGATGTGGCGGTCGGCCTGAATCGGGTTGACTCCAGGTTGTTAAGCAGATGTTGATGTTTGTTCATCCTGAATGGAACTGACATCAGGGGCGATTCTAGGATCTGACCTTTAGGGTGCTTGGCCCCGAGTACTGGCAGTGGCTCTTGGTTTGAACAACACATCTCATGGTGAAGTTTGTGAGAAGTGCAACAGCTTATGGCACCTGGTTTTCCAAGGAGGTCTCCCATGCAACTACTAACCCTGACCCGGCTTAGCTTCTGAGATCAGACGAGATCGGGCGTGTTCAGGGTGGTATGGCCCTAAACGAAAAGCTCGTCACAAATTGGATTTTTACAGGATCAAAGCAAACAAACTAAATTTATTCAACCAGAAGTTACAACATATATCTACACACAAAACAAAACACAACTAGCTGTAATCATTAACCTTTAATTTAACCATTAACCTCTGACTGCAAAGTGTTTGTAATGCAAAACCCCAACAATGATGTCGGTGGAAAACCGTGCTCCTGCAGGTCCGGGGCGTTTACCTTCAGGACAAATTGAGATCACCGATTGCTCAGTTGCTGATATTCCTACTGATTTGATTGACAGGTGGCGTTGAGGGTCGACTCGTACAAAAACAAAAATCATAGATTTTACTGGTCCATTTAAGAGTGTCGGCATTTATTCCTTATTTATTTCAAATGTATTAAATATTTCAGTGAATCTAAGGGTTGAGAACGGAGCTTCGTTACAAAATTGTAATAAAGGTTTCTTTATTTTTCAGGGGTGTTGAGTTAAAATTTAGCGGTGCTTGAGCATCCCCAAAAAAGAGGCTAAACTGACACGGTCATCAAAAGGTAATCAGTTGTAATTGTACATAAAATAATTACTTTCTGAGAGTTTAATTCAAATATGTCCACTGGTTCGTTACACATTTTTTAACTGTACAGACAAAGACTCATTATAACTCTGCCTTCACCTTCAGCGCCAGGCAATAAAAACTAATTTATCGTGCCTCTTTTTAAGGTTTCCACTGTGACTTAGTTTAAAGATTATTTTTCAGCATGTCACTTGTTGTTTTGAAACTATGACCTCATTTAGAGAACAGAAAAGCATGGCTGGGCTAATAAAGTCTAAAGGGGAAAACATCTACAAAGATCTTTTAAGGCCTTGATTAAACTGATTAGACGTTAAAAATACATTTTCATCACATGTAAGATTTAAGATCTGTAACTATACAAACATAGTAACATCTTCCAGCTGATCTTTTTCCACCCCTGATAAAAATGTACAATCATAAAGTGCAGAAAAGCTGCTGACATGTTCAAGAGATGGCTGGACATCTGGTTGTTTCTTGATCTCCAAGAATCAAATAAAACCCATTAAAACCTGTTTTTAGTAAGACAGAAAACCACATTTAAAGAGTGAAGCCTATAACTGGTTGGTTGTTTCCAAAGCTGCTTTCATTCCCAGGGTAAAAAAACCACGCTTAAATAACCCAAACAGACCTTTAAAGCTGTAACATTTCCACGCTGGCTCTAAATGAGGTCTTCCAGAAGTGACGTTAGGAGGATCATCCAGCTCCATGTTTGTAAGGACTTCCTCTCTCCCTGAGGCAGAGCTGTAATATCCTGTTCTTAAAATACCAGAGCTCTCATAAAGACTGGGTACAGTGGCAGTAATGTTAGTTAATGGTGTTTAACTATCGTTGCCCTATGCGTCACCTACATGAGATGTGGAGAACACCTATGAAGAAGATGTAACAACATCATCGTCTCTGGTAGGATTTTCTATTTGAAATCATGGGGATGTCTCTGTATGTTCAGGTGCTTACCTGTACGATCTCCAGCATCTCAGCTTTACTGATGTAACCGTTCCCGTCCAGGTCGTACATGCTGAAGGCCCATTTCAGCTTCTGCTCCAGCTTGCCACGTGACGTCACACTTAAAGCGATAATGAACTCTCGGAAGTCTATCGTCCCATCGCCATTTGCATCAAACGTGCGAAAGACGTGCTCAGCAAACTTGGAAGCGTCTCCATAAGGAAAGAAGTTGCCATAGATTTTCTTGAACTCCTCCATGGAGAGGTTGCCGCTGGGGCAGTCCCTCAGGAAGCCCTTGTACCACTCCTGGATCTCGTGCTCGGTGAAGTCGGTGCTCTCCAGCAGGTCCTGCATCACCTCAGGACGCAGCTTGCTGTTCTGCTTCCCCATGTCTGCTTGTCCTGTCAGTCACTCAGCTCACAACTGGGAGACAGAGAGGAGACGAGCTGGTTTCAGGATTAAGAAAGAATTCACAGCGTGACAGACATCATGAAAATGATTCCTCATTAGTTTCACAAAATGATTTAATGACATTTTATTTTCACAGCCTCCTCTGTCTCAGTCACATCAAGAGGAAAACCATTTCTATTCACTTAGGAAGGAATGACTCTTTTTATTGCCTGTCACCAAAGACAAAGGCAGATGATGATATTTTTGCCCACGTTTGTGTGTCTGTTAACACAATATCTCATGAACCAAGAGATGAATTTTATTGAAACTTACAGAAAGTAATCACTAAATGTACTTCTACAGATCAAGACGCACCTTTTCACCATCATTTAACAGAAATGACCACGACTTTCCAGATATTAAGCTCAGATTCGTTGTGGTAGTAGCTCAGAGTCATTCTCAACACATTAAGCACAACATCGTGCATGAGTGCTCATGTTTGATTAAAGCAGCTACAACTCTTTCATTTATCAGCATGAAAAGATCCTATTTGAAAACTCAGGCATGAATGTTTGTTAAAGAAACCCCCGGTCTTTAATGTGTAGTGAACTAGATGACCTCAAATCTACCAGATGGACAGAGACTGTTATTTTCATTGATTTGAATAAGTCTGAGCCATCTGATGAACTTTCTTTCTTGAATTAATCAAGCAGAAAAGACAATCCTCTATAATCATTACTGTCTTACAAATGTTTTGATAATCAAATTGTGTTAGTTTCACTCAATGCTTACAGGTTGAAAAGAACTACTCATTTTTATTTTACATAAACAGTAAGTAATGATTTTTATTCCTCATTCAAACGAGAAATCAGGTTAATAAGCATTTCTTGATTTTCTGTCTGAAATGATCCAAGTCGTAAGTATGTGAAAGTTGAAGCTTCGGTCAACTAAATGTTTACTGAAGAAGAAATGTCATGTTTTACTATTTGAAAAGATTACCAAGTGTGAGACTCCACGAAGTCTGGCCGACTGCAATAATCTTTTCTGTATGTTGAAAACAATCCTTGACTTTTGATAATAACTTACGTCAAAAAACCACTCCTCTTTCTGGTCCATCCACGAATCAGAAAGCTCTGAAGTAAACTCGGAAGTAAACTCATTTAAAATGTGACAACTTCCCGGTTCTACACAGTCTAGAGAGAGCAGTCTAGAGAGAGCAGTAGGAGAGAGTTGGAATGGAGAATGGAAAAGTTCTCATGTAGTGCTCAAGGAGTTCTGAAGAGAATTCGAGAATTCAGGATGATCCAGAGACGTTTGGAATTATAATTTCTGTTTGAACGACCCACGCACGACTCTCTAAGGATTTTAGCAGTTCTCAACGGAGACGCTGATATCAGTTGAAAAGGATTCTTACTGAGGTGATCGATCGTCAACAAGGTAACGGTTTCTTCTTCGACCAAGTGTACCGTGGGCAAAGCTGAGATCTGACGGAGCGTGCAATTTCTGGTTAAACAGATTAAATTCCCTCACATATTCCTCTGTAAGATAAATCTCAATTTCCTCTTAAACTCACCTCTCTCTCATAAATCAGTACAGATATTTTTAGGAATATCTGAAGCAAAGTCCTCAAATCACCGCCGAGTGATTTGAAGTTCATTATTTGTGAAGCTGTCTGTTATTATTTTCATATTTTGCCAAATTAATGTAAATGTTTGATGTTAAACTTTGATTCTGAAAATAAATGACTCCATTCATTTGATGGGTCAAAGGTAATAACGTCTCTCGTTACATTTCTGTTAAATTCAATGCACGGCATTACACAGTCAGAAAAATGAAGAACTCGTGAAAAGTATGCATAAATATATA